AGCGATTTTCAGGAAAAATGTTTGTCAAATTAGACATATCAAGTATATACTGTAATTACTAGTGTTAGCATGATGGCTATTGCGCCATTGCTAAATTGAGAAAATGTTTTCTCCATTTCCGTAGTAAAAGATACTAGGTATGTAGTGAAATTAGAGCAGTGAAATATTAGTAAAATTAGTGTTGGGAATCAATTTTTACTAACACTGATACTATACTTGCCGTCAAATAATTTTCGAGACGTAACGTTAGCCAATTAAATTTCAGGATTAGGTCAGTTTATAATTAAACATTTTTTGTGTCTTCTGCGTACTAAGTTTTCTTTATAAAATTTAGTATTATTATTTATAGTCATTGAAAACGGGTTTTTACCAATTTAAAATAGTTAATTATTATTATTAAATTCCAAATAGTTAAATCTGGATTTAAGTATATCCAGATAATAATCATTGCCTGGTTTTAATTAACGTTAACGATAAATGGACAAAACATTTATCACCTTACTTTGGATTTTAATACAGTAATACGTAGTGAAACTAATAACGATATTTTTTAGCCAAATAACACTAGACTTTTTTTTTTCAACTAGGCTTTTTATAGGGGATCCAGGAACTGACTTTAAAATTTTAAAGGCAGACATGAATTATACGTACTTGTTATTGGCTGCTTTACATTCAACACCTAAAATTCCGACAAAAACTTAACTATCCTAAAATGTAATTGATGAATATTTGTTGGTAAAATGATTGTCAGATCTCGTTTCAAGTTTTATACTCCGATTAGAAAGTGCATAGTATTGTAAGTCCGGAGTCAAGGGTGAGTAATTAAAGTATCATACTCCAGTTTACACTTAAAGTGAGTTAAGCCAGTTTGTAAACTGGAATATTTATTATATTATAATAGTACTTAAAAACTAGTTTGACTTAACTTATTAAAACAACATCCGGAATTTATCAAATTTTTATTTGAGTGAAACTTGAATATCTAAATATAGAATAGTACTGATTTTATAACAATCTATATTTAGTTATCCTGAACACTTATTTATTTATAAATATTAACGTTAACGTTAACGTTAAATAATGGACGGAAAAACAAAATATTTTATCACTTTGGTCATGTGACGCGGGTGTTTCCAAAAAAATCGATTATATTAAAATTTTCAAAAGGATCTATCACTATAGATGATTTTTTTAAAAAAATACAATCAAGTAGCATTTAAAATATCATATATAAAAAAGAAACATTTTTTTAAAGTAGATTATATGCCTTAAAATTATATACTTTTAGAGTGGTTTATACAGTATATAAGAAAGATACCTAATTTATTCATGATTTTAAAATTCCAAATTAGTATGTACTTTACCGATCTAATTTTTTTAAAACAATCTTTTGGAGATATCAATTATCTTTTCAACATCAATATCTGATTTCTATATTGGTTTAAACAAAATTGATGATAACAGATAAGAAAAAACAAAAGATTCTTTAATTCATTTAATTAATAATACGTATAATATAGTCCAGTATTTTATAATATATATTATTATTCAAATAGATGTTTCCAAATAAGATGTTTAAAAAAAAAAATTCGACACGAGTAAACTTGTCTAAAAAATTAACATACATAATATTTCTCAGGGGAAATATTTCTAATTACGCGCCATCCTGATTAATTAATAAAATCAATAACTTTCTAAATAGCCAAAAAAAAAAAAAAAGGTATTAAACATACGATATTACATGAAGATTTAAACCATAAAAGAGATGTTTTTTTTAGAAAAACAAAGATATATTCTCACGAATTCAAGAATCAACTTGATTAATTAATTGTTTGAAACTATGAACTAATCTCCTTGTAATTAAACAAGAAGAATCCTGTTTGATAATTTATGCTAATTCTGTAATTAATAGTTAATCATTACTTATCGTTACGTACAGTACAAACAAATCAATTGTTCCAAAGGATGACGCATGTACGTACTTACATACGAACGTACGTACCCAGGAACGCCTATTCAAAATTGTTGGGTCGTGCGCTGATTGATAATCTAAATAATTTTTTGATATAATGACTAATTTTTGATTTAATTACTTTTTGATATAATGACTAATTTTTGATATAATGTGACTTATTGAATATATCACATGAGAATATATGAGAATATATGAGAATATATGAGAATACATGAGAATACATGAGAATATGTGAGAATATATGAGAATACGTGTTAAAATCATTCACATTCATTACAGCGTATCAATATCGATATATCAAAATAACGTATATTTTTCTCGTGATTTTTATTATCTTCAACCAAGAACAATCAATAAAAAAACACAGAATCGAGTTAATAGTCAGGTCGGGAAAGCCATTTTTACAAAATAAGATATAAGTAAGAAAAAATAGGCGATTAGATCAGATAGGCGTCGATAGTGAATATTTTTATGTGGAATGATTAAGTTCGTGACATGATGATAAAGTTTATTTTGGTAATGATAATGATTAGAGTTTATTTTGGCAACGAATTATATTTTAGTTATTGTAGATAAGCGATATGCTTATCCTAAATGATCATAAATGCTTATTATAAATACTTAATTTATCAATGATATGATTATAAATACTTAATTTATTATTTATAAATACTTTTTTTAAATGATTGTCGCTGAGAACCTTGGTGATACACATGACCTTTTTTTTCCTCTCAATAAGAAACAAAAAAAAAAACTTTTTTTGGGAGAGTGAACTTTTTTGTTTTCTCGGCCGCAAAAAGTCGTATAAGTTTCTAAAAATACACTCCGATTTCAAACACCGATGGTCCGTTCAAAGTGATCATTTCTCATTTAAGATAAAAACTGGTTAGAAAGTTGAAATGTAACTAAATGGACGATAGCGACAATACCAATCTTGTATAACAAAACCCAATTATATTCAATACGGGACCTATTTTCCTGGGTACTTTTCTCAAGAAAAAAAGAGGCTTTTTTTTTTAATAATTACGATAATGAAGAATGGTTTGATTTTGATTTCAAACAAAACTTTTTATTTATAACAATAGAAAAATAATTTTAAAAAAATATAAATGGTAAAAAAAGACTATGTAAAGAACTTTTTATTATACAAAAAAGGTTCGTTGATAGAAAACTATTGATAGAAAGAAATAATAAACATTTCATCTTCATGCATCCGGAGATATATTAATTGCGTTTAGACTAGCATAACATGATTGAATATTAGTTAGGATGAAATGATTGATTGACTTGTAAAGTTTCTACATACGTAAAGAACATACGTTAACATACGTTTACATACGTACGTACTTACATATTCTCAACCAAGTACGTACGTAAATAGTATGTTAGTGGTTCAAAAATCTTTCGATTATCTTGGGAAAAAAAAAATAAAGTTGATACATAAGAAAATAAAATATATATCATCAAATAAGTACGTACCTGATACGTTTTAGTGAAAAATTTAAGCTTAACGTTAGATAACATAAACTGTTGTTAGATAAAAAAAAAACCTATCAAATATAATAAAGTAATTTCCTTGTTTCAAATTATTTAATTGTTTTTCATGCGTAACGAATATTACACGATGATCAAAGAAATTTTTTTTTTGTTCGTTTGTACTTTGGTACCCTAACCTCCTTAGCCCCCCAAAAATTGTTACAAATTGTATGTATGCAATGCACGCAAAAACATTTTATACTTAAATAATATACATGACTTATTATGGTAAAATTATTAAGAAGGTCCCTATGGAACATTATAATACTTCAACGAATAAAATTTGACATGAACTTATGCAATTATATTTACATTTGATAACGCCCGCTTTCATCATTTCGGAAAGAGGTCAACATAACACAAAATAGAAGCCTATTTCTTCGTGACTATTTCGTGACTACTTCGTGTTATTGCAGTCGCATATATTTTATAAACCATAAAAACTACAATACGGCATATGCGCATACATTGCATTCGCACGGTACGTTTAAAAGGTCAATTTCTACGTACGTAACAAGTTTACATGGTTCACGGTACTTTATAATTTTATGTACTTTATATATTATATTATATATATGTATATATATTATATATATATATTTTTTATACATTCCACATTGAAAGGACACATTGAAAGAAAGGGAAATCCGTTTATTTAATAAAAAAATATTTGGGACTTATTAAAAACTAACCAATAATGAAAGTGATGACGAAGCAACTTCTTGTGTTTTATTAAAAAAATATAGACGTATAACGTATAGCGACGCAAACGACCGGCCCACAAAAAAAAAGAAAAAAAAAAATTTTTTTTTTTTTTTCTTTTTTTCCTTTTTTTTAAAATCATGGCATAGATAAACATTTTTTTGATTATACGCAACAAAAAAAAAGCTACGAATAAAAAATTTATGTTACAAAAATTATTTATACCATAATTTGAAAAAAAAAATGTTACAATATTTAAAAAAAAAATAAAGAAAAAAACTATTTAACAAGAAAGTAATAAAAAAAATGTATTGAATAAACCGCACACGTTCTCCTTTATAGTATAATATAAAATGTATAGAATGAATAGGGGAGGTGAAAAAAAACCAAAAAGAACCAACAGAAAAAAAAAATACACGCGTCACTAAAATAAAAGAAATAATTCATCTCATTGAAATAAAAGGAACCTTCCCAAGATAAAAAAAAAAATAATTATAATGTATACATTATATGCTATAATACTGAAATTATATGAAGTGGTCTAAGGACGATGCGTTGCAGGATTATTATATGAACTTCATGAACTTCCATAAAACAAAACAAAATGTCTTTTTTTTTGAAATTACAACGTCCACAATCTTTTTTTTTTCTTTTTTTTTTTGTGGGCGATGGCTTGCATCTTTATAAAGAAACTTAAAGGGGGATAAAATAAAAAATAAATGTAAAAAATTTTTTTCTTTTTTTTTTTCTTTTTTTTTGAAATTTAAAAGTTTATAATAAAATAAAATTATGAAACATAATGTTTTGCCAAGATTTGATACTCATAATCAAGCTTCCTTCTAAATCTTGTTTGGTCACGACTCGTAAATGGTTGGTCAATCATTTTCCATTCAGCAGAGATTATCGGACATTTTCTAAGGAGTTGTGCATCATATTTCGATGAAGAATTTGAAGAGTTTGAAAGAATACTTTCATTATCTGAACCATCTGATGACTCTTTTCGTTCAGCTTCAAATTCTTCAATTATCTCTTGAAGTCGTTCCTTTCTAAAGCTGATTGTATGTTCTAATCTTCGACGGTCATAATGTTCACGCAATTTGATCTCCTCTTTATTTTCATATGAGCTTTGGAAATTTTTAGGATGTTTGCTTAGGTATGAATTTCTAAAACATGAAATAAAATAATAAATTAGTAAACAGAAAAGTATATAAAAATGATAATTATGATGATAAAAATGATAAGAATGATAATAATAAAGAAATCATTTATTTACCGGACGAATCTTGGTAAGTAACATTCATAACAAGCACGGACTCTAAATTGCCAATAAACTTTTACCCATTGTTTTCTTTGGCCGCAAAACTGACATCCTCTCTCCGTTGAACAAAGAGAAATGTATTCTTGTTCCTAAATAATATTTAATTAAAATATTAAATTAAAAGTTAATAGTTAGTTACAATAATTTAATAAATAAAAATTATAATAAAATTATAATAATTTAAAAGTTAAAATACATACCGTCATTCCTTTAGGTGGAGCAAGTTGTAAAAATGGGCAAAACTCAAGTCGTGAATTCCTCCAAATTTCTTGTGTGGCTGGAGATTCAGTATCCAACAAAAGAGTTCTTAAATTTTTACAAACACCTGATAAAACCAAAAGATCATTTGGTTCAAGATGTTTACAAATCATTGAAAGAAATTCGATTGGAATATCATTAAAGTTTTTAAAGGACATAAAAACTTTTGGTTGAACTTTTTTCTTGGTAAGAAAAGTAAATAAAGCAAAAGGATTCATAAGTATTGACTCTTGTTGTTTTCTTGGATCTACCAGCGGCGTAACCATAAAATGTGCAAGAGGTCTTAAAGCTTTGGGTAGTCTAGCGAAGTTTTCTTCGTAAATATCTCTTGGTGACATTTTATATATTTCAAAAATTTTTATTTTTTCTAAAATAATAATAATATAATTTAAAATTATAAAAAATGATTATAAAAAAAAATTCCCTCGTTCGTTCGAATTTTTATGTATTTATTTTATATATAAAAAAAAAAAAAAAAAATGCGTGAAATGAAGAGGAGATGTGGGAGGATAAGTCCACTTGAGAAATTTTTTTCTAAAGGAAAAAAGGCCTTACAAAGGTTTATTTTATATTTATGTTAGGATTGGTTACCCTTGTGGCTCTGTCCAACGAATACCACAAAAATCAATCTCCGGCAGGCAACAAAACAGGTATTGTACTACTATAATTGTGCAGTATTTTTTATTAAACGTATATTTTCATTTGATTCAAATATCAATGAACATATAATTTTATTGTATGTATCAGGGGTGAACTATTGTAACCATTAGAAAAAGGGTAATATCGACAAATATATTATATATTTTTTTTTATATAATAGAACACAAAAGAAAATAGTAAAACAATATCAAAATTATCAATGATAAACACTCGGTCCAATCGCTTTAATATAAATTTATATTAGTTATATTAGTTATTAATTTATTTAATTTATTTATCAAGAACTATAACAAGTATTTTAAATCTTTTACTAACTTAATAAAAAGTAAAACAGGAAATATAACCAGTAATATGGTTTTTTTAAAGAAAATAATTTCGTTATTATTAAAAAATTTTATTACCAAGATTTCTTAAGTATATGACGTATATGATATTTAATTTAATTATTAGTACAATATAGCTCACCCACAAAAAAAAAAAAAATCCCAATCTGTGAAATTCACGACTCTATAATTCTTACCAAAACTAATTTACTTATACACGGCTGAACACGGAACCATATTTTGAAGAGGCGCGGTTGTTTGCGGATGTCATGCACATCTTTTTTTATTCATGTTATTTATGTTATTCATGTCAGTGAAAAATAAATACATATGTGAACATATGCAGTCACACAGCCCACTTCATTTTCCATTGGACTTGGAACGGTCTTGTCGTGTAACATGTCATATATAGTTATTTGAGGCACGGATCATGTGAGTGGCTTATAGCGCTCGACATTTAAAATTGGAATTTTAAAATAAAGCAATTAAATTAGTAATAAAATTGGCAAATAAAATTGAAAATAGAATTGGCAATAGAACTGGCAATAGAATTTGTCAATAGAATTTGTCAATAGAACTGGCAGTAGAACTGGCAATAGAATTATCAATAGAATTGGTAATGAATATAAAATTGACAATAAGATTAACAGGCGAAGAAAAAAAAAGTTTTTTTTTTTTTTTTTATGTAAGAACTCGTGAATTATTATTTACATATATTTTGAATAAATCACGCATAAACTTTGTGAATGAGAAACTTCCAATCATTTAATGCCAAGTTGTTTTTGTATGCGGTTCCTCGAAGAGGGGTATATATGCAACGAAATATTTTTGGGGGTATTTTTTATTATTTATACAACATTGGCGTGAATTTTAGTTTAACAAGCACATATTTTTAAAGGTTGATTATTATACGATCTAAATTTGAATGAATTGTAACAAATTGTGATTAAAAATTTGTTATAATGAACGAATAATTATAATGAGTCGTGATTTGTGATTAATGGATTATAATGATATAATGATTTGTGAGTTGTGAGTTGTGATTTGTGATTTGTGATGAAATTAAAATGAATGGATTATAATAATTATAATAATTGGATTTAATTAGAATAATTGTAATAATTGTAATGAATTATAATAATTGTAATAATTGGAATAAATTATAATAATTATAATAATTATAATAATTATTTATAATAATTATAATAATTGGAATGAATTATAATAATTGTAATGAGTTGTGATGAATTGTAATGATTGTAATGATTGTAATGAATTGTGATGAATTGTAATGAGTGTAATGAGTTGTGATGAATTATAGTGACTGTAATGAATTGTGATGAATTAATACTATAATGAATTGTGATGAATTGTAATGACTATAATGAATTGCGAATATATATAATTTTTTTTTAAAAAAAAAATAGATGGCGCATCGATACTTCCTTTTTAACAATCCACTAACTGATCTAATTTATCATAAATATAAAATTATTTTATAGAAACTTTCTAAATGAATATAAATGAATATAAATGAATATAAATGAATGTAAATGAATGTTTAAAGGTTTGTACTAAAGATATCAAAGCTGTTCTTACATGTGACGGTTAGGTCATTTTAATTCCTAAAGTGAGCGGCAACCACGAGTATGAATATAAATTTTTTTAATCTACATTTCAAATGAATCAAAAAAGAACTAATTAAGACTAGTTTTGCTTTCATTTGTTAATCATACTAGACATTAAAAGGTGATGCAATGGGGAACATCTTTTTTTGTCAATCACCATGATATACGGTAATTAACAACGTTGATGACTTCTTGCCGTTCCATGGATTCTATGGATTTCAATAGATATCAATAAAATTTAATAAATAGATTTTAATAGATATATTTCGAATTTTCACGGATTTTACGGAGTCTACCGATTTCATCAATCTCTTTTTCCTGATTTTCACAGTATTTGAATGAGATGAAATCTTTTTTCTATAATTTATTAATGTCACCAAGCCATCAAAGTCATCAATCATTTTTATTTCAAAGACCTCATGATACAATCTTATGATACAATCTTATGACACTAAAATTCAGTCAATAACAGTAAAATAGTAGTAACTGTGAATTTTGTTAAAAAGAATAACATAAATAAAGTATAAAATAATTTTTTAGATCTATTACGTACAGTAAGTACGTACGTATGTATAAAGTTCAGGTTAAAAATAGTAAATCGTCTAAATTGGAAAGAACTTTAAAGATCTTGTAGGAATCGCAAGTTTAGTATATGGAGAGATGATTTTATTTTATTAAAATATATGTTTATTAAAATTAAGTATTAAAATATTAATTAAAAATATTAAAATTAAAAATATATTAAAATTAAAATATCAAAAGTAAAATATTAAAAGTAAAATATTAAAAATAAAATATTAAAAATAAAATATTAAAAATAAAGTATCAAAATTAAAATATTAAAAATAAAATATTAAAAATAAAGTATCAAAATTAAAATATTAAAAATTAAAATATTAAAAATTAAAATATTAAAATATTAAAAAATTTAGGTAAAATATTAAAATTTAAAAACCTAAAACTATTATTATGCCTAAAACTATATATTTACTAAATGTATGCAGTATATAGATAACAAACTGATTATTTGAATGCCTAAAAGCTATTACTAATTACGTATATATTACAATTTAACTATATATTTATTTATTAAATTTAAAAACTAACAGTACGTATAATACTAAACTATAATATGTACTGTATTAACTGTATTAATCCATCGGCATACTTTAAGTATTGAATACATAAAGTTATTATTGAAATGCATATTTTAGTAACGTATATCGACTGATACAGTATGGTTTTAGTAGTTTAATTACTTAAATGCTCAAAAAATGTTTAAAATCATTATTAATTTAACCATTCCTTACTAACAATCACTTACTGTTTCTTACTACTTTCAATACTTTCTTAACTTTCTGTACTTTTTGTGCTTCCTACTCTCGGCCTTATGTGTTTGTGAAAATGCTTAAAAATAATTATCGCTTTGTTTGTTTTTATTTTGGACTTAAACTATAAAAGGATACAAGACTATTTATAGATGTTGTAACGTGGCGTTGTTCTAGTTTGGCTTGTGATCATGTATGTAACAGATAAAAAAAAAATCGCGAATATTTCAATTATGGTAATTATAATCAAAAGCAGGGTCATTGGAATTCAATGAATTTTTGAAACTTTAGTAATAAAAAATTAATACGTACGTAAAATAATCTTTACATAACAGATAATAATCTTCATCTTTATATAATAACCTTCATCTTCATATCATATAATAATCTTTATATAATAATCTTTAATATATATAATAATCATCATATAATAATCTTTAATATATATAATAATTATCTTTCATAGGTCAATCACAAGTCACAGAATTATTGTTAGTATAATAGTGATTATTGTAATTATTATGATTATAATACTATATAACATTATAACACTATAATTTTAATCTTCTAAATTCTAAAATTCCAGATTTTCGTGCGTGTGTTCTTTAAAATGTGTACATTTAAAGATTAGCCGTTGTTTTTTTTTTGATTTGTAATCAAAAGATAAGAGATTAATATGAGGGTATGTATATGCATACATACATGTTTGTACAATCAACGAAACTGCTGTAAACAATATTTAAACACGAAAGGATTATTCGAGGATTATTTGAGGATGAATCAAAGATTATTTGAGGGAGTTATTATGAAGGTGTTGGGATACACAAAAAAAACGGGAATCCACGAAAGGAAGATGTATGATCGAATGATAATCGAAAATAAAAAGGTTTATCAACTTATTTTATTAATTTGTCAATCATTAACCATTAACAATCACTAATCATTTTTAATAAGGACTTTATCAACAGACGCGTTATTGATCGCGACTAATTTATGATCAATGAATATTTTTAATTTGTTTGCTAAAGATCGCATGATTATGATTTTTGTTTTCCTAATATAAAAAATCGCGAAACCTTAATGCATTAAGAAACACCTATTAAAATTATTACATCATATTGTATTACGACGGGATTTCCAAATGATTATAACAACCTTATTTATTAACTGTAATATATACATTAAATGTACAATAGCTCAAATTCTCGTAAATTCTGCAACCGTTGTTTCAATATATTATATTATATTATATAATATAATATAAACTTCTTTATGAATAATAATGAATGATAATGATAATGATAATTCATGCTGTGTAGGTCAGGGAAATCAATTAAGGATTACCTCCTGAACCTCGGACATTCATGACGTCATGAATAGCAACAATATTAACTTACAAAGCGAGTAAAATTTAATCTTTTTGATTTTTTTTTTTTACGTATGTGGCGTAAAAGATTTTCCGAATATTTTTTCTAAAATTAATCATTTGACTAACTTATTACTACAAGAATTACAAGAATTGCAAAAATTGAAAGAATTACAAGAATTCAAGAACTGCAAGAATTTGATTTAAAAAAAGTACACACCCTATTCCTATCGTTCGTACATAAGTATGTACGAACATACGTGCAAACATACGTATGACGAACATGAGTATGTGAATTAAAATTTTTGGTGAGACAAATAAGAGTTTATTGCGATGTCACAAACATTTACTTGTTTTATACTAATTTTCCTTTTACATTTGTAACATAAATAAAAAATTTGCAAAAAAAAAAATTTTTTTTTTTTTTATTGGAGAAACAAACAATTAGTCAAGGAAAGGATGTTGGGTTTCTATACTTCAAGTGTGCCCAAAACTGATACTATAAGGTCATATTTAATTTCACACATTTAATTAAACAAATAAACAAGTTTTTCTTTCAAAATATTTTAAAAATATTTATAGCCGGAATTTATTAACGAAGGTACGTGCGCAAGATTTCTTTGATACAGTGTAAATACGTTTAATTAAATTTTTTTTATTTCAGTTACATTTTTTTTCTTTAGTTACATTAATTTATAAATCTCTCTTATTTTTAACTAGGACAGTAAGTATCCTGCATTTAAGGAGGCATTGCAATCTAATTCTGTTTACTGTTTATTCAATATTTTATATATAACCGGATTTACCCTCGAGGAATACTACTATGTTAAGCTTATAATTATTTTTCTTTAGACATTGTACGTATAATAAGAGAAATCGATTTCAAATAACCTAAATTAATTCATGTTTTTCAGACCTCGTGACGTTTATTTGATCATGTGCAAAAGTTACGAAAAAAGTCACAAAAGTCACGAGAAAGTGGCGTTCCGCCTGATAATAATCTTAACCTCGAATAGTACAGAACAGTATGTAGAACACTATTTAAGTGCTGTGATGCAAGTAATGTCTGTGTGACAAATGTAGTTAACGTGTACATAATTGTATGTCCACTGGTAGCACAAGTATATAGAGTTCTGGCGTTAATCATAAATAGACTGTATACTGCATGAGATTTTGACACCTTACTATACTTGGGTTTTGAAGATGAGTTAGTGTGTGAACGAATACGTAAAAGAACAATGCATATAAAACGAAAACCATGGTAATAAATGTTTATTCACGTTATATCAAATATTAGTGGCCAATTTTTTAATGTGTTTCAGATAACAATGTACCTTTTAACACTATTATTTAGAACTCATCGTTTGTTACAAACTCTAATATTTAACCGTCCATTATAGATTTAAACTGTCCATTACGTATACGTACGTACGTACGTACGTAAATTTTTATTCTTAATACGTATTCTGTTATACGTAATTTCTACTACGTACCTACTATGTTAAATTTTACTATGTACTAATCATACTAATTTTCATGTACTAATCATACTAATCCTAGGTACTAAATTTTTGCTAATTCTACGTACTAAATTCTACTAAATCCTATGTACTAATTCTACTAATTATAATCATCCGTTGCAAAAAAATGTCTATGCGCATTTAGTAAATATGTAAATGCTTCTTAATTTCTTGTTCTGCTCATAATAAACATTTATTCATGTGTTCATTCATTTTCATTCATGTGCTGCAACGATCTCCCACCACAATTGATGCTACAATAATCGATACCATATTAATCGATACTACGTAATTATTGGTAATTATTAAATAACTACAATAATTGATAAAAGAAATTGTTTCAGTTAATTTGGCATCAGTAATAATCTAATCCTTTCAATTGTCCATTGTTACTCTATTCTTATGTTTACTCTTATGTTACTCTTATGTTACTCTTATATTACTTTTATGTTACGTATTCTTTCGTAGTGTATAAATCAATTTTATGTGCCCCTTTACTCTTTTTATTGTCTATAACATGTTTCTATCTTGTTATTCACCTTGTTATAATTAAACCCTTTGAAAAAATGGTTTAGTCAAACTTGAATACTATCAATCTTGCTTTATCTTTGCTTTATCTTTGCTTCATCTTTACTTCATCTTTGCTTTATATTGAATGTTACATACGTACATAAATACCTCATATGTATCTTACTACGTAGTATCTTTAACGTGAAAAGCACGAACAACCATATTTCATTAATCAATTTAAGTGAAACTGTACAATTCTTTTTTTGTTATCTGTACAATGACGACTTTGAATAATTTAGGTTTTGTGTTATGTTTCTCTAGTCTCGGTACGACGGAAAAAGGCGACCTCTTGACAAAGGATTGAATTTTCGTAATTCAATAAAATTGTTTATTGTTCTCAGTATTATACTTTCTTGATCGGAATGTGATCTCATATTCTTTGTCATTCGGCCGTTGCCAATTTTCTTTACATATCTATACATGACTTATATGACTTACATAACTTACAAGACTTATATAACTTACATGACTTATATGACTTACATATCTTATATATATGACTTGTATAAATTAAGTATAATATCTTTAGTTTTAATTATTGTTCCTAAATCATTACCTACAAATTTGGAAATTTTAAAAGAAGTAGTCTACCGTTACATCACTTATTTTCCAAATTG